GGGGGGGGGGGGGGGGGCTATCCGAAGAATAGTAATTTCCAATGGACAGCTACCACACGTTACCACTGCCCAGTTCCTGATTGAGGGCACTAGGCTTGGTAAATCGGATTAGCCCGTAAATTGAATAGATCTACAATGAAAAGGCTGCCACCTTCATGGGCCGACTTATCTCATTTTCGCGGTGAATATTGCTTGAATAGGGCCTAATAAGGAGTTAAGGTAGTGAGAATCCCACCCCTAGCGGTCATTACAGCTCGTGATCTGTGTACAGCTTCCAGACCAAGTGGCCATACCATCAATAATCGGTACATTTACTTTGTAACTTCTACATCCTCTGAATTAATCTTTAAAAAAGTGGGAATCTCCTTGTTTTTCCAATAGTTTACATCAGCTTCTCCTTTACCTTGAATTAGTAACCGCTACCTCTTTTGTTTACCACCTGTTCAATGGAATTATTGTACTCCCTGCTTTTGAAGCGGTCTTTTATGGAGAAAGCTGAATGATTACTGCATGCTTGTCACGCTTCAATTACTAGAACAAAAGTGTTCTATGATGGGTTTGAGACTATAGCCGAGGGGTGCTTCTCTCCACAGGGGGACGTTTTGTCTTGCCTCCTTTCAACGAGAAGCGATCTAGGAATACAAAATCGTTCACTACGTAAATACCCTTCCGATTAATTTGAGAAGGAAGTCTTGACAATCTACTGAAAAGTATGAAGCTCTTTATTTCTGTTCGACCCTTAAGAGTAGGTGTAGAACAGGTCATGATGATGACTGAGAAAATCCTTGGCACAATATATACCGTTTTGACCAGAATCGCAGATGCTTTTTGATGCGTATTTAGTTTTTATAATGAGTTGTGATGGCCAGCCGAGGTAAAATTCAGAGCTCTAGTCCTCCTGGATGAGTCTCACCGAATAGCCTGTTTTGAAGTGGTAGAAAGCTCGGTTGGCTCGTACGAGTATCAAGCAGAGAATAGATCCCAGGACTATGCGTGTGTGATTGGCGCCAGTTGCCACTTAAGCCACTTCCGCCCAGAACATGGTATAACAGCCATATCGTATAAGAACAAACTTATATTTTTATTATATTTTTTATGTAAACAGAATTTTAACATGACAAATTTGAAAAATTCGAATTGTAGTAGGCTAATCAAATGTCTGCAGAGTAAGAAGCAATGGTAAATGTAGCAATTTCCAAGTTTTCTTTGGAGATGGGAACGTTTTTGGCTTGTTCAGGCTCTCTCCAGTGGATACAGCCACTCCAATGTGTGCTGATAGCCGACGATCGAGCCTGGTCAGTTCCCTTATCTTCCTTGATTTTGGAGTGGCCCAACGAGATGAGGGGACCAGA